TTTATTGGTCACCGTTTATCTAATTTATTGGTCACATAGTGTTTACTGGTCATAAACTAACCAAATCCTTGGTCACAAACAACCTAATCATTTGTGACCACCCCCGAGTCATTTGTGACCACCACTTCGCCACGACCACCACCGCCGCCAACATGACCACAGCACACCACAATCGTACCGATGCCTCACGCACCTGACACCCAACCATCGCACCCACGAACACACACCCAAACTGCACACCCAACAGATCTGCAACCACCACAACCATCTGATAAATCAAACTCAAAAACAAAAAAAGACAGAAATTACAGATCCTTAACACCCCGATCCAACACCCACACCATGGCGCCGTTCACACTTCGCATCAAAGCATCCACCACCGTCCCAACCATATCACGGCGGTGCATAAAACTGACCACGAAAGCAAAACTCACCCAACCACCTCCACTGCACCATAGCACCAAAGCAAAACTCACCCAACCACTGGACTAGATCGCCACCGCACCCCACACTCCATCGCCACCGCATCGCACCACAAAAAAAAAAAACACAGATCTGACCGTTCTCAGAACTTAGCAGTGCCAAACCTCCTTTTTCTTCCCTCTGTGCGTACGCTGGAGCTTGGATATATATCCTCTGCCAACTACCAATTGCCTTCTGTCCCCTAGAGAAGTTGTGCCAATTGAATATATAAATATATATCAATCACTCTCCAGAATCACCAAATCAAGGTAGCCTCAATTGTTGACTTGTCAACAATTCAATTCCTTCCAGTAGCCACAGTTTTGTTCCTGTTTTCGTGTAGGAACAATCAAGAAAAAGGAGGAGAAAAACAGCAACAGCTCTCTCACGACAGAGGGAGGCGGCGATGGGTGAAAATGGGTGAGAGACTGTCGGTTTGTTCCTATTAATATTAGGGTTTGATTAGATTAATTAAATAAAAAAATATTTTGAAATTTTAATTAAAACCTTAAATTTGTGACCTTATTTGTGAAATTGAAAATCTAATTTCAGGTGTAGGTGTAATTTCCTCTTAAAAAAATGTTTTGGAATAGTGATAGTGTTTACAGACGGGCTGAGCCCAGATCTCTTTAGCTTGGCCCAACCGGGGACTTGATGGGGTGGGTCTGATTTTGGAGACGGGCTAGGTCTAACGTGAACTATAATTTGAAACGGATTGGTTCGAATTTGTAATGGGTGAGAATCAAATGTGGTTGTAGGCGGATCGGTCTATAATAACCCAACTTCTAGGCATTTTTGAAAGAATAAGGGGGCATTGTGATTAATTTGGTAGTGAATAGTGAGAGTAAAAGAAAATAAGTTTTGAGGAAAAAAAACTGTATTTAGGATTTCCCTAAAAATATTGACACCATAAAACATTGTTTATTATCTTTTATTTAATAATTCTTAGGAAAAAAATTGTGCAACATATATAATAAAAATTGATGGTTGGCTACTCTCACCCAGATTCTTAAAATTAACTTGACCTATTTATACTTCTATTTCAATTACTGATATATTATTTTAATTTTAAAAAATATGATTTTGCACATAATGTATTTTTAAAAACTTAGTGGATGGCTAACTTCGTATAATCGAAATGACTTGTTTTATATCTTTACTCTCACTACTACCCAAATGATTAGATGTTTAATGTTTGGCAAAGTTTAACTTTTTCGAGTTGATCGAGCAAACTTTTATATTCACTCACATCATAGAATTCATAACTTGCTATCTGCACACTTTATAAGATTCATTACTTATAAGCACTCAAAAAGTTTTACCAAACATATTAGTCGTAGTATGAAATTCTACTTAGGAAATAAAAATATAGAACACAAATCAAAGCTGTCTGGGTGGTGTAGTCGGTTATCACGCTAGTCTCACACACTAGAGGTCCCCGGTTCGAACCCGGGCTCAGACACTATCAATGTTATCTTTTCCTTACTCCAATTTATGCTGACACGACGCCGTTTAAGAAACCTCTCTGTTTTTGGTATATAATATTCCCTGCCAATTTTAGATTTCTGCTGTCTTATTCTTCACCAACTGAACCCATGTAGTCTGTACATTTTCACACTTCATTTTCTATAATCCCTCTTAAGAATATGGAAAATCACAAGAGAGCAAATTAAAATAGAAATAATCAAGCGTGAAGTGATGACTTGTCAAGTTAAAGTTGACTCTCTTACCTTTTGAGTTATATTCATTATCTCTCACTTTGGAAAAATAGAACAAACGGCTAGAAACTCAACGTCACTATTTATAAATTATATTCTTTTCCATATTTCTCGTTCACGTTCGTAGACTAATCTGTAGAGTTCGTCGTATAAATTGTTCGACCACCTCAACACAGGCAGTAGGGCCAGCCCTAACCCAAATGCAAGTAAGACAACTGCCTTGGGCCTCAGATTTTGAGGGGTCTCTAAAAAAAGCCCAAAAATAGCTTAACACCCCACCCCCCCCGGCCCCTTCTGCCCGCTTCTCTTTCTCTCATCTTCTTGATCCTATGCAACGCAAAAGAAGAGAAAGAGACCTTGAGTACTTTTAATGATAATTCCAAGATTAAACTCTGTACAAAATTTGTTTGGATGGCTTGATTTCCACCCTCCACAGTGGAGGCTCCACTGGTTGAAGATGCAAATGTCTAGCTCGTTTTGCAGTATCACTATATTCCTCTCGATTAAAGAGCCTGATAATTCCATTCGCTGATCCAAGGCTCGAGAATTCCTCACCTAATATAAATATCGGGTAAGTTGCATATGAAGTCTTTGGGGATAGCATTTTCGTCTGTATCTTACCTCGTATTTCAAGCCACCAAACATTCAAAAGCTCCACGACCAATGAGAATTTGTTAAAAACAAGTTAATCATTCACATTAAATTATGCATTTCAAAAACAAAAACAAAAATAAAAATAAGTCAGCGAAAGGTATCGTGAAGGACCTGGAATCTACATGAGATGTCCACTTCCAATTCCTTGGAGTATCGCTCCATGAAATTACCAGTTCCCTTGCTCCAATCATATAACATTTCTTCCCAGCTATTTTATCAATATGAAAGCTCTGCCTGCATCAAGTTCAAATAGACAGTCCTTAATATTTTATTAAGTTGAGAAAAGTACAACCGAAAAAAAAAAAATCCCAATCCAAAATAATTTTTCTGTCACGAGTTCTGAATAAAATTTATTTAGATTGTATGAATTGAACCTTGGAACCAAGGGCGGACGCAGAAGTTTAAAATTAGGGGACACAATTGAACTTGTAAAAAAGTTGAGAGAAATTTTACAATCGAAAATTTACGTCCAAAAAAATCATATTCCATGTAATTTTGCATCCGAAAATTTACATGGGATAACTTTTTCGGATGTAAAATTTCGAAAATTTTTGATATCATATTCCATATAAAATTTCCTAATAAAATGATGAAAATTATATTGAGAAATTTGTATCGCAAAAATAATAAATGTTAATGAAATAATTGAATTTTTTTTTAAAAAAAATGTGAGTTGACGCCTCTTTTTNAAAGTTATATTGAGAAATTTGTATCGCAAAAATAATAAATGTTAATGAAATAATTGAATTTTTTTTTAAAAAAAATGTGAGTTGACGCCTCTTTTTAAGATTCACGTTTAACGCATCTTTAACTATTTTCGATATCTGTTTGGACTATTCGATATGCATATAATGTAGTTCTCGAAATAAGATTTAAGATGACATAAGCAATTGTATATTCGATTAGCGTACGATCGTCAGAGAATTTTTAAAATTAGCATGTTATTGAAATTTTCGAAATACTAATTTTGAACGGCCTACTTTGACAAGTTGTAACATTTGCTATGATTGATTGTTTCGTAGGCCATTAACGACGTAGAAAACTAGACCGTGAGCACTTCGAAATGGTATTAAAAATGCAATATTTCGATTTCGTTTCACGTCTCATACTGACTTCGAAAATTGAAACATAAATATAGAAAATTTAATGGTGAAAAAAAAGGGAGCAAAGTTGGGGGTCACGTGACCCCAAGCCACCCCCTGCGTCCGCCGATGCTTGGGACAAATTAAAATAATAAAATCTACAATTGATAACTCTATACAAAAAATAATAAGATTTTCTGATTGTGCTCGTGAAGGAAAGAAAGCTTTCTAGTTTATCTAACAAAATTTCCAGATTATCCTACTAGATGTGATCAATCTCTTTTAGAATCACAATCAAATGCCATTTTCTGACAAGTCTAACGAGAATTCACATGAGTATGTATCGTAGTTTCTGGAGTTGTGAAAGACTTTATTTACGAGGGAGTTTGGTGAAACCATTCAAATGCGAATAATGTAGGTGTCTCCCTACCCAATAATGTATTCTAATTCATGTTCTAATTGTTGCTTTCGAAATTTTTATTTTTAAATATAGAATATTTTGGACAATAAAAGTAGTCACCACTCCCATAACTTAATGGTTTCCTAAAATCCTTTATATTCTATTTCGTGAACATGAAAAGTAATTATCGGACGAAATAAACAGTGTGCACCAAAGGTATAATGTTCCTCATCATGAGAAATTGTTTCATAAGATCATGTTTGATGCTAATATGCTTGTAAAAAAAATTACATGGAGGGTCTCATAATAATTTTTCGTCTAGAGCCTCGAAACTTTCAGGGCCGACCCTGACAGGCAGCCACCACCACCACCACCGCACCTACTAACTTTGTTGGTCAAGATTATTAACTTATTTCTTTAATTTTCCCTTAGGTGATCTTATTGGTAAACTTTTATTGAAATGGAAAACTCATCTTCAAGGTGGATAATTTTTCCTCACAAGTTTTCGGTTACATAAGTTTTGATCACATCGATTTAAAATGAGTTATATTGTTACTAATGTTACATTAAGTTATGTTGACACACTAAAAATACAGCCCAAATTGAATTGCCCAAAGAGTGAAGCTCAATTGGAGAGTCCAGGATAAAGGCCCAAATAAGGTTATTGGTGAATGCAGAGGAAGCCCACGAACACAGTAATATCATCGTCCAAGCCTGCAAGACTCCCAGAATTTGGACGAATGGAGTGCCTCACGGTCACTCAGAGCGACAACCTCGTTCTCGCTCGAACCTTCGAGTCGCCCAGAATCTTAATGCATGAGATATTATGGTTATCCAGA